ACAGTGCTGAAGTAGTGGAAATGCCATTAATAACAAGGAGTTAAGAGCCACCCCCTCCCCCCGCCAAAGAGACAGCTTGGAATAGAAAATGTTTCAAATATTTCTTGCAGAAATTTAGTCCTGAGTCCAGAATGGACCTTTAGCCTGGTAATAATGCTTCCTTCATGGAAACAATTTCATCCATCCATCTGTAGCAAGATTTTTCAGTTTTCCCATCTTACATAGCTGCAGATTCAAGGATTATCTTTTCTCCTAACCATGAGATGGTCATCCAACATCAAGAATGCAGCCTACGGGCAGCTTTAACATGCGATGTGAAAGTAGGAAGGGTTGTGCTTAGGCTGAGCATGGCTACATTTTGTGCCCAGGTTTACTTTCTAAGTTTTAATAAGCAGATGCATGCACATGCTGGAAAAGCAGAAGGTAAACAACATGGCTCTAATGCTGAAGGGAATGAACATACAGCTGTCTATCCCAGTAGTCTTCCAACAAGTCTTGCCATCTTACACCAGTCTGAAGTAGAAGCAGTTCCACAGATGTATAAAAACCTTGCCCTTTATAAATAATGCACAAGAGCTTATATATCAATACCACCAGTTGCCTCTTGATTTAATTAAAAAGTCTGAATGGTAATGATTTAAGACCATATATTGAGAGAAACAATGGCTAGAAGGTAGTTTAGAGGATGCCAACTCATCATACTAAGAGGCATAAAACTCATGGTTGTCTGATCAAACTATTAAGAACACACAGAAACCACATCCTCGTACAGTAGATACCTGTCCTGTTACACCAGCAATTTCACATTATTGTGCTGATATTTTGTCTTATGATACAATAATGTGATAAAGATCTTCAGAGAATTTCGTTCTTGTGGCTTGCGTCAAATAAAATTGGACTATTATTACCATGTTCTCTGCCTTATACCAATACTTTGGGCTGCTCTCATACAATAAGCAGGTAGTATAACACCTCAGCTACCATCTACAGATGTTATATAAACCAAACCAAACATTGCCTCATCCCTCCCTACAGAAGCAAAAACTCAAGAAGTGGAAGCCTTGTTAAGGCACTTACTGGATACATTAAAAATAAAGACATGTAGTATTTTCCAGGATTCAGATCCTCCCTGTCCTATAGGAGTAATAGTGCGTTAGGTCTGGTTGTTCCCATTGTGACGTATCTAACTGTGTACCTGGTCCATTAAGTCAGACTGTAAGCATAAAATTCAGTCCTCCCACCTCAGGTGGGAGGTAGGAGGGGAGGCAATTGCTGGGATCCCCTCTTCAAATGATACCAACATCCTACGTCAGGCATGTACCATGAAGCCAGTCTGCCGTGGTTTTGTCTAGCTTAAGCAATCAAATTTAACCTGCCATGAGTACTCCTTCCAGTACATTTGCTAGATGCCATCAATGCTGTGATTGCAGGCAGACCTTCAAAGGTTTTCACACATGCGTGCACACGCACACACACTCCCACACTCTCTTAATTTAATAGTAATACTTTATAGCCACTGCTGTGCCTCTGGTTAAAGAAAATAACTCTTGCTTTATGGCCCTTTCTTTTATAATCATGTCTTGGATACGATATAAATGCCACATCTATATGCATTGTGACTACCTTCACAGCCAGCAGTCAAGCTTTGTCAAGCTCTTCTCGTCGTTCTTGATCCCCCTAGTGCTCCATCTCTAAGGATGTAAAGTCTTTCAGGATACCTAAATATGTGTTTGTTCAGGTTTTTCAAAACAAGTTTTAAATCTCCATATTATCACTTCAGCTGCTATCAAACTATGGTTATTAATTTTAAATCATGCAGAATAGCACAGGTGAACATCTGCTATATATTTAAAATCCGTTATCCTAGCAGGGTAAAACAAAATTTCCCATTAAAACTGTATTTTAACTAAAGCCCCAGTTTTGCAGCACACTGGTATAATCTTCAAAAACACCCACATACTACATTGAGAGATCTCTTTATGGAAAAAGGTGGTTCTTTTGCTTTTTAGAAATACCTAGGTGCCAGCAGTGCCCCCAAAAGTGGATTCAGTACAGAAGTGTTTACAACTTCCAAGAGAATAAGCACCATGTGATACTTTCAGACTGATTTTTTTTAAAAACCTTAGCTGCCCATATAAATAAGGATAGGGTAAATTAACACAATCTCTGGAAATAACATTCTCAAAAAACTATTACAAGCTCTTGCAAAGACTTTGATCTGGTACTTCCTTTTAGATGCTTATTAAGGTTCACCCCACACATGTAAAACCCACTGAAGTAATAACAGCCGTCTCTAGAGTAATTACCATTGAAAATATTGCTTCTTCCCTTGATTAGCCACTCCTGTTGAGAGTAAAAAATGATGCTTCCAGATAAGGCCTCTTTTGTATTTTCTTAAGTGGAGCAATTAAGCCATTATATACACTAAACTGGAAGAAAAAGTACTTTGCAAAACCAGTTTTACATTCAAACAGATGGCAGCAAAGGCACACATCTCCAGATGACAATGCTTGAAAAGAAAGTGAAATCATGACATATGAATGGTATTATGAACAAAATCAAAGGTACAGAAGGATATGTATAGAGTAAGAAACACTTGCTAATAAAAGCTAAAATCTTCATATATAATAAGGCTGGAAGCATCACACTTTCATGAAAAACACCCAAACCAAACAAAACCCTTGCAAAATGGTTCTAGAGGAAAGGGTTAAAAAAATAAAAATCAAGCTTTGAATATAAAACCCTGTCCTTCAACGTAACAAAAGATCCAAGGTGACTATTTCATCATAGAAATCTAGCTTATCAGCAGTGAAACTTCAGTCTGCATCCCATTAGAAAATACGACTATCTATAATAATGACACATTATTGGTGCAAGTGCAAACAACAGCTAATGCTGATTCCTGCATATGAATCTTTCTTTATGTAGTCAAAGAAAATCAGGTGGTGGCTCTTCTGCCTGTAATGGCAAAATCTGCTGATGCACTATAATAAGAGCTTTCCAGTATATGGATTGGAGTTTTGGGGTTTTTTTGTTAGTTTCTGGGTTTTTTAGGGATGTTTTACTTCTAATTCTTAAGAAATATTTTGGAAGTTTGTGTTTTCTATAAAAAGTTTCTCTGCTCAAGGACTCTTAAAGCCAAAAGTTTTCAAGTTTCTCTAAACAATGTGCATGGTCAGGCCAGAGCAAAGAAAGTGAACATACCACAGTTGCATCACTTCAAGGACTGACTGCACTGTATGAAATGACCTTGGCTGCAAGTTTGGTTTTGGTTTTGTTTGTTTGTTTAGGTTTTTTTGCTATTGTTGTTTTGTTTGGTTTTTTTAGACTGAAGAACCAAAAGGAGTGATTTATGTTATAAAATTCCTCTTCCCACATGACATACATTGTTGTTAAACAACTCATGATAGCAGTAACAGCAATTAACTTTGCTGCATGTCATTCAGCTACTTCAAACTATAAGAAGCTCAGGACAATACTTTTTGTTTACTTCAGTTTCAGCCTAAATCTCTCACTGATTACCTACTGTTAGAATGCCACGAAAAGTAATGGTTCATTAATGGAGAAAACATACCTATGTCAAAGATATAAGCATCACCAAATCAGGCTGTGCTAGCCAGAACAACATGGGTTTTATAAAGGTTTATCACCAATACTTTCAGCCACATTTTACCACCAGAAGCTGGGTTTGTGACATTCCCACAGAGCTCACAGAATTGTAAGAAAATGTGTAAGGAAGATAGGTTTTATGACTGTCTTCATTTCAAGTCAATGATGTCTTCATCATACAAAGAAATCAGCTGAAATGGACAGCTAGATGGTGAGCTCTCTTCCCTGTTTGGTAAAGTATCAGGATCTGAACTAGTGGAAAGATGACGTCTTTCAGAATAGCTTTCAAAAGAGCTTGAGATTATCCTGCAAAGAGGAAGACAAAAGTTACTAAAAAAATACACAAATCAGGGCAAGAAGGAACAATAGGTACTTTTACTAAAGATGGAGACAGACCATTAAAACTGAGTTTCCTCCTGTTTTACTCTATTGTGAATAATTAAGACAGTATTAGTGAAGCCCAAATAATTTCAAAACAGGGAAATAAATCAAACATGGTGTTACAGTGCAGCAGAGTTTTTTGTTTGTTTTGTTAGTCTCCTGTATCTTGGCTGAACTCTGCCAGTACTCTACAAAAACATAGGTTAAAAAAACCAGTGAAAACAAGAGAATGGCAGTGGGGTCAGAGCCAAACAGACAAATGCTATGATGTTTCTTCACAAAATTTATTTTGGAAATAGCAACATGAGAGCATAGAAGAAAACAGTAAGACAGTGCATATGCAGTAGTCCAAATCTTAATTACAGGCTTAACTGCTGCAGGCCCCCACAAAACCCCATTTAGTCTTGCTTTGTTCATTAATGTGTCTTTAGCAAAATGTATGATCATTTCAGTACTTATAATATTCAGATACTCTAACGAACACATTCACATGAAACACACATGAGTGTACAAAGGTCTCAGTCAGCCCCATGCCAACTGAGATAAACATGAACAATCAATTCTGAAAATATTTAGAGTCTAACTTAGGGTCTTTTCTAAAGCCAGTATATTTACCTGTCACTACTTGTTGATCTTACTGCTCCCTGTTTGGGATCTGACTGTCTTCGAGGAACCTTTTTTTGCTTCTGTGCACTTTCTGTCTTGGGTATAGGCTCATCCAAGAGGCCTCAATAAAGGAATAAAAGACTTAATACTCTCAACATAAAATAAAGCCTTCATGAAAATGCTAAGGTATCTCTTACTGGTTTCCATTATTAACTATTTCTGCTTGGCTTAGAGTATAGTCACACGTGATCAGACATTGGCTATACTATTAGCAAATAATGTTTTCTTGCAGTTTTGTGGGTTTTTTTATTTTAGTAGTTTATGAATACTAGCTGTGTGTTACAAGTCTAACTGTGATGGTCCAAAAATTACAAAGTATATACTTGGCAATTGATATGTACACTGAAGAACAACGAGAATTTACCCAGCAATTCTTTGCGTGTTCTGCTTGCAATTTCTTTAATTTCCATACGAGATAAGGATAGTGAGTGTGTAACTGGAAGAGAGGCAATGCCACTGGATGTTGTAGTACTGACGACCTTGGGAGCCAAAGGTGACTTCAGAGGTCGTTCAATGCTTCGCCCAACCAGACTGCTGAGAGGAATTTTGTACAGGTTTTTGCATGGAACTTCACCTGAAACACAAAAAGAAAAAAGAATATTACAATTTCACAACAGAATCAGTTCTTAATACTTTCCAAACGAAAAGTTATAAAGAAAAGTTATACTTGTTGTGCTGAGCACTTTTTAGCCCAAATGACAAAGATCTTTTGTGCTCAGGAGATCTTTCAATATAAATAAGCTAGGAAGAGGAATAAATACAAGCAATTTGACTTCGAGAGAAAAAGAAGATTGACTCTTGGTGACATGGTAAGTCAGCAGTGGAACCAGGAAGGAAATTTGTATGACTTGAGGCTGGTACTCTGACTGTTACATCATGACTCTGCACTCTCTGCAATATTCTCCCATGTATATTGGAGCCTGGATCCCAAGTGGTCTAAATTATGGCTCTTCCTCTTTGGTAACATAAAATACTGCATTTTCCTAATTCCTAGAAAGAAACCCAAACCAAAACCCCAAGCTTACCATCAAATAGTACTGCCTTTAAAAAATTACACTTGTGATGACCTGCTCCTTTGCCTTTCTACTACCAGTGCAGCAGCAGATTTAAGGAAGGAAGGTACACATGCATCTTGCATTAGTAAGCTGATGTTTCCTTGTTTCTCCACTATTGCTACACTATAGACTGATTGTTCACAGATCATGGTACACTAAATTGACTGTGCAAACTTTTTCAAGGCTAGAACTTCTTATTTTGGTTCACAAAAGAGCTTTAACATCCAGTAGAACAGAATGGTGTACATGAATTCTCAAGTTTTCCCACTATTTTATGCCTCTTTTTGCATTATTAGTCATGGCCATGCTGCCAAAAATTCATCAACCTACTGAAGCTTAATTCCTCCCTTCCTACAGAAATGATTTCTCCAGAACAGTGCTACCATGTATTAAAAAAAGATACCACAGGGCAAAAGCTCAGCCAGGCACTAAGTATCTCTATCTTCCAGACTCTCAAAAATCACAATCTTTACTAGAGATCAGCTGCACTGAGATGTGATAGCTGTTGGAATGATCAGAGATCATTATTCGAGCTGCCATTGTTACCTTCTAGAGAAGAAAGAGGACATTCTGGCTTTTCATAAACCATCGGTGTTTGAGAACTCCTGGAACTCATTTCTTTAGAGCTGCTGTCAGATGATCCACTTACTGCAGCAGTAGCTTTAAAATAAATATCTGACTGAAATGACAAATAACTCGTCATTAGTACACTGAGACTTTATTAACTATCTCCTGAGTAAGAGCTCAGATGTATTATCCACTATGTTCTACTGCTACTATTGCTGTACTGCTGCTAAGTCAACAAGGGGCAGTCATGGAAAGGTTATCACTGTAAATGGAGGGAACATCTGTGATGCTGAGGATAGCATTTGCCCCACAGTCAAATATCTTAGAACTGTATTACTGCAACCAATAAAGGACAGCATGATCAATTCTTATTCCCTTTGTACTTGATATAAACGAAAAGCAGACAGATGAACAGTTGCCACAGATTGGTTATAACAGAACAAATAGCACATATTTCAGTTTTGGTTTGTTTTTTAGCTGCAGCAACTTTTTATTTATGTGAATTAGGTCCCAACATATCACAGAAACAGTCAAACATGATTTTTCTGTGTCTTACCCTTGATGCTACAAGTTGAAGCTCAGGCACAACTGCTGTGTGGACTAAGTTCCCATTCACCACTAATCGGATCTCAATGGAATCAGCAGTGAAGGCAAGGATATATGGGAAAGCACAGACTGCAATGGAAGAAAAGTTATTTGGCAAGGAAAAATCGTTAATGTAACAGTTTTTTGGATGCGCTATGAACAGTATTCTGGAGTACCTGACCTCTCCTGGCATCTCTCTTTCCTATGAAAAGGGTTGTTTAACATACTGATGGACATTGAGCTACATCAAGCCTGAAGAAAACTTCACTTTCTATGCCTGGCAGAATGGAAAAGTGAATGGAAAATAAAAAAAATAAAAAAAAAAAAAAGGGAAAAAACAGTTCATCAAAGGAAGAACTTGGCACCAAGGCTCCACTTTCTAAAATATCATATGCAGAAACTTAGCTCAAGTGGCATCATGAATGTAACACACCTATTCCTAGAACACTAATTCCACTAAGAGCCAAGTACAGGCCAAAATGTAATGAAAAAACCAACCAACTGGTAAAAAGAGATGTTTTCTTACCAACAGCATAAGGAACTTGATTCCAGCTGAAGTGAAAGTCGTAAGATGACGGCTGGATCAGCGGAGAACCTCCACTGAAAGGATATACCTTTTTGTATTGGCAAACATCTGCAACAAAATAGAAAAAAGCAGCATCAATCACCTTATACTGTAAGTGACAAACATCAACTTTATAGGCAGATTTTGCAGAAATGTGGACATTATATACATAATCATAGAATCAACCAGGTTGG